ACCAGAGGCCCACCGCCGGTCTGTGAGCTGTGGCTGCACAGATGACAGCTGCGGATCATCCAAGACGGCAAGACGCTAGCGCGGCCCGACCCGCAGCAGTGGGGAAGGCCAGATGCCGAAAACTCACCCCTCGCCCTTGAGAAGCTGCCAAGAAACCGCTCCCCCGGAACAGGAGGCGCGGAGCAGGAGGTGCGTGTGGAAGACGCACCCATCTGGAGGCCTGCTCCACAGAACCTTCCTGGGAACAGAAGCCGGCCTTCCAGCCCAGCCTTGCCGCAACGCAGCCGTGTGACCGGGCGGCGGACACAACCTGCCTGGGTGTCAGCCGCCTCCGTGGTGAGGGAGGCAGGCTGGTTTCCACTCGCGCACTTAACCGTTGCCACCCGCCGAAAAGCAACAGCCCCCCGCCATCGGGGGGCCTTACGTCCCCGTGAGGAACGTCCTTCGGGCCTTTTCACCATCCTATGTTTTTTATTTCACAGAAATAATTCAATTAATAGTCACATCAGCAGACATTTTTGCCAGGTTCCAGACAGAACCTTCCTGCAGCTCCAGGGTAAGCACCACACGATCCCTGTTTTAAAGAGAAGGAAACTGAGGCCAGAAGGGGCTCAGGAAACTCGCCTGGGGTCACCAGCCGCCACAGAAGGCAACTGGAAAAGGTTCTGGCCTCCGAGACTTAAAGAGCAAAATGGCAGCAGCGGGGAGGGCTTCCTTATACACAAGGATAACGAAGGCAGGCAGTGAGCTGTGCCCAGACTCACTCTTGCTCTCTTCGTTTGTCCTACTAGAAAAAGAACCCACAAGCTCGGACAGAACTCCTCCGGGCTGCCGGCCCATCGGTCCAAAGGGACGGAAGGATATGTGACATGATTGATCCCAATCATCTCCGTTCCTCCAACGGCTCCAAATTAAGTCATCTTTTTAGAGTAGCATGACCGTTTTAATTTTTAAAAAGATAGAGGGGGGAAACTCTTACATATTTCACAAAATGAAATGATCATCTGGAGAAATAGGCAGATACAGAACAGGCCCATCTCCTTCTGATCAAAATGCACTTCGCTAATTAGCGGCCACGGGTCTCCCAAGAGCGGCCCCTCGGCTGGCTAATAAAGGCCCCGCGCGCTTCACTCGGGGCCTGAGCATTTACATCGCAAAGGGGGATAAATGAACGGCGGGACTCAGAACCCTTCCTCCGGCTGCTCGTTAAAATTCCGGTCCAAACAGATTTTTATTTATGTGATACATTAAAGAATATTACGACAGTACTAATACGAAATCTGTTCTTCACTGCCAGGGATTTTCTTTCGTCTTAAGTTACAGCTTCTTTCCACTGGTCTTGTGTTAACACCTCCACGGAATATTTCTCCGGCGAGTGTCAGCAAGGAGGGGCGGCCAGAAAGCGCTGAAGTGAATTGGAACCAAAACACACGCTGACATGTCACCGGCAAGCTCCTCGCCCGGTCAAGGAGGAGGGGCGCAGCTCACCTGGCCCCGGGGACCTTAACACGCACACGCCGAAGTTTTGTTGAAGGGAGACAAACAAGAAATAAATAAGTCTTGACTTAAAGTTCTCTATTCCTGCCAGCGGGTTTTGGCCTCCAACACGAATGTGAGTCTGAAATCCCCGCGGCTGGGCTCAAATTCTATCAGAAAAGAACTGTGGACGAGGAAGGTGCTTTCTCCCCACCCTGTCCAACCACCACACACCGCGCCAACTCCTCAGCCGCCTCCCTGGGGTTGAGCAATCCCAGCACCACCTGAGAAGATGCCCTGGGGGTCCGATGGAGAGCTGCTAGCAGACAGTGCCACACAATGGGATGATATCATAGGGGTGGCACCTCCAAGTCCTGAGATGCTGGCTGTGGTTCTGCCTGATGACTACTCTGTCACCTCCTGCCCATTGCAGAGAGGGGACACAATGCTACCCACTCCCCACCCCCCAACCCCCGCCCGCCCCAGGCCAGCACATTGGGAGAGGGCCCAGCGCTGGAGCCAGGTTGCCTGGGTGGGTTCCCTGTAACACTTCTCAACCCACATGCACTTGGGTTTCTTCATCTATAAGACAGAGGTAGTGCTTCCATCCACCTCACAGGACAGAGGTAAAGACAAAATGAGTTACTATACACATAATGTCCCTTCCACCATGCCTGGCACTTCAAGTCATATCATTATTATTATCAGCCCTCTCACTGAGTTGGCGTGAGGGGGTCTAATTAAAATAACAGTAAAAATAGCAGGTAATACATAGGTATTACACTGCACCGCGTCTTTTTTTAAGTACTTTCCCTTTATTAATTTATTTAATATGCACAAAAACTCAACAAGATGGGTAAAATTTAAGGTTCAGGGAAGTTCAATGGTTTTGCCCAAATTCATACAGCTGAAATGAGGCACAGCCGGGATCAAAAGTCAGGCTGTCCAGCTTGAAAATATCAATAACAACAAAAATGATTAACCCAACAATAAAGGTGGTGGTGGTGGTGGTGATGGTGGTGAGTGACAAGGCCCTCACCCTGTGGCAGGATTTTATTCTTCACAACCACCTTCTGAGGGAGATACTGTCATCGCTTCCATTTTACAGATGAGCAAACTGAGACTGAGAGAAGCCAATTTGCTCAATGTCACGGGACCTGAGATTCAGGTGGAGATAATGGATAGGAAAGTCCTTTGTAAATTGTGTCATAAAGAAACAAGGTGTTGTTATAAAATCCCTAGAGCCCCATGGAAAGATGTCCCTCCCCAACTGGTTTACTGTTTCTTCACAGCTACGTGTGACATTCATCCAAAACATCCCAGACTCCGGGTTGGGGAGGGAGGGGGGTGATATGTGTGTGTACTAGTACATACTGACAAGTTTAAGAAATATCCTGTCTCGTGTTCAAGTTGAATGCATCATTGAAAAGACCAAATGCCATGATACACTAAAATGAAATATGCCCTAGCTGATGTGGCTCACCTGACTGAGGGTCATCCCATGCACCAAGAGGTCACCGGTTCAATTCTCGGTCAGGGCGCATGTCCAGGTTGTGGATTCAATGGGAGGCAACCAATCCAGGTATCTCTCTCGCACTGATGTTCCTTTCTCTCTCCCTCTTACTTCCTCTCTCTAAAATCAATAAAAACATCTTTTAAAAAGTCTGTCTTTAAGAAGCATCTAAAATTGCTAAATCCAAATAAATAAATAAATAAAATAAAATAAAATTGCTAAATCCTATCCTAACTGGTTTAGTTCAGTGGATAGAGTGTCGGCCTGTGGACTGAAGGGTCCTGGGTTGGATTCCAGTCAAGGGCATGTACCTAGGTTGCAGGCACATCCCCAAGAGGCAGCTGATCGATGTTTCTCTCACATCGATGTTTCTAAGTCTCTATCCCTCTCCCTTCCTCTGTGTACAAAATCAATAAAATATATTTTAAAATTTTTAAAAATGCTAAATCCTTCATCTAATTAAAAAAAAAAAAAATACCGCCTTCTTGTAAAAAAAAAAAAAAAAAAAAAATGAGGGGAGGAGCAAGTGGGAGGAGAAAACAAGTCCAACCCATGGTTTGACCAAGTCAGGGATTTTTCCAGTTTCCCTCTAGAGTAATCTGACCCTAGTTCTGGGTGATCAAATGACTAACCTGGAAACACGAAGATTCACACTTAGGGAAGAAACAGCAATTCTCCCAAACCCAGGAAATGCTGCTTATTCTGGAAGCCTTCTGCAATGTCAAGGGTCACTCAGAGTTCAGAAAGCAACCTTTAAGCAGTTCAGATAGTCCCAAAGTTTGTGCTCAGTAAAGAAACAATCAAACTGCTTTGGCTCGTTAATTCCTATTATTTGCTTAACATTAGGGGGGGGGGAAATGCCTTAAAAAAAGTATTTCACACTATTTTAGGGATTTGTGCTTCCTTAAAAAGAAAGGAAGAAAAGGAAAAAGAGAGGAAAGGAGAGAATCTCATGGCAGAATCAGACCTGAAATTCTCAAAATACCATCCATAATTCCAACTTTTTCCTCGCTAACGTGCAAAACCACTCCTCCCTGAACACAATCACAAGGTGCCACTTCTGGGAGACGGAGCTTAAAGAAATAAACTGAGTTTGCTAAAGCCATAGCCCATTTTCTTTAGGACCTACAATCAGAAGCTTCACCTTTTCCCCTTTCCTTAAAAGAATGCCAAGGCCACAAGGTGCAGATCAAGTTTTTCCTCCAATGTTATACAGGAAAGAAAGAAAAAAAAGTGTAATTCGAAAGTGCAAATTTAAAGGTAAGCCGTAAGCCCTTCACATTTCACCCCGGGCTCGGGCAGCTGTGTTCCCACAGCCACACCTGGCAAGCTCGGTGAAAACTACTAGCGACACACTTCTGGAAAAGCGAAGGCCCGTCTCAAGCCTTTAAGCAAGCCTTGTAGTACCACTCGGACAAGCTTACAACATTTTCAGGACTTCTCTGCCCAGGCGCCGGCACCTGCGAGAGCAGTAGCCCAGCGGGTTTCAAGGGTGCCCTTAACTTATCCAGCCAACCCGAAACCCAGACATCCACAGGCTCCCCAGGCAGGTTTAGGGCTTTACGGGTCTACGAGGTTGTTTTTCCCAGGAGAGGGCAAGCTGCTAAAAGTCTCCTCCTCTCCATAAACTCCACGTTGTGAGGCCTCCGACGAGTACCCTCCAAAAAGGGTCACAAGGAAATGTCCCAACTTTTCCTGATATGATCTTGGCAATGCTTAACAAATAAATAGAACACTTGCATAAATATGGCACCGGACGGAGCTGTGTCCTCCCACTGAGGCTCGGGCCGGTCCCTGCCTCGGCGGTATGCTCAGAACCCACCTCCGGGCGGCTGACTCGCAGACGCAGGTCATCTCCGAGGGCCTGGCCTCTCACAGCCATGTGCTGCCGCCAGGAAGGAGCCGTGTGCACTGGGGTTCAGTGCCGCACTGCCAGGGCTGTGTTTGAAACCCGGAGTCCTTGGCAACCGTGTCTGAGTGCTACCATCCTACTGCCAGTTCTCCTACTTACCTTGGGTTGCGCCCGACGAGGAAATGCAACCTTGGGGTCGATCTAGGAGAAAAATGGAAAAGTGGGAGTCAGTTGCAATCCTTTCAGGAGAGGAAAAAAATATATATGATTAATCACCTATGTATTAATCACTCATTTCTCAGGCTTTGAACCCAGTAGTAACATCTCGGGGCAATCCAAGAAAAGTTTTTAAACTTGGATCCAAACATTCTGGTTTCTCCCCAAAAATGTAATAAACAGAGCTAGCCCTTCTGAAATGTCCTACACCATGGTATTCAATGTGTGATATTGTTAATGAACCAGACCTCATGGATTCTTATGTAGGCCAGGGCCTACAGATACCGAATCACACAGACACTGAGTGCATCGATCTAATCTGCAGTGCATGGCTAGGAGGAAGAGATGGGAACGTAATCACTGAAAAAAATCACAGCCTGAAAATTAAATGTAAGAATCTTCCAGCGGTAGCTGGATGGTATTTCTTTTCCCCGGTGAGAACTAAACAACACAGGAGGGGACGGGGGTTCCAAAAATTTTGAAAATCAATGACATCCAAAAACACCCCATAGACATCCAATGCAATACTCTGCAGGGATTAATTCACACGTTTTTGCAAGAGTTATCTAAAATTAATCAAAGGCATTGTTTATTCTGTAGTTATATCTCAAAAGAAAACAGGTAGTAAAAGCTATGGAGCCCAACTTGGTTCTTAAAAATAATAATACTACTACTGCCGGGACCGGTTTAGCTCAATGGATAGAGCGTCGGCTTGGGGACTGAAGGGACCCGGGTTCGATTCCGGTCAAGGGCATGTACCTTGGTTGCGGGCATATCCCCAGTAGGGGGTGTGCAAGAGGCAGCTGATCGATGACTCTCTCTCATCGATGTTTCTAACTCTCTATCTCTATCCCTTCCTCTCTGTACAAAATCAATAAAATATATTAAAAAAAAAAAAAAGATAAAAAAAGGTAACGAGACAAAAATTAAAAAAATAATAATAATAATAATAATAATAATAATACTAAAAGAAAGGAAACCCATGAGCTAACATCCACCTGGATTTTAAAATCACAGGTGAGTAAAAAAAATAAAATAAAATTCTATAAGCAACCAAACCCAAATAAACATCATCAAGGGGAGAGGGTAAAAAAAAAAAAAAGTTTTACTAAAAAAAAAGAAATCAGAATATAGCATAACAATCAGGGTATTCTCCTGCCCTAACCCCAATCCCAGTGGGAAAACATCCTCAACCCTAGATTAGACCACTTACAGAACATGAGTCTCAATCAGGGACTGGCTTTAAAATTCAAACAATTCCCATGGAAGTGTCTGAATCTAATAGGCTGGGGGAAAGGTGTTGAGTAGAAAATATGGGTAGGGAAGGAATAAAAAAAGATTCCCAATGTTGATTTTCATTTAATTTCTAAATGTCATGAGTCATTAGGTGAAAATCAATGGGGAGAGAGGCATGAATATTGCTACCATGTAGTTATTTATAGGCTTTGCCTCTCATTTTAAGATTTCCCCCTTGCCCTAACCGGTTTGGCTCAGTGGATAGAGCATTGGCCTGCGGACTCAAGCGTCCCAGGTTCGATTCCGGTCAAGGGCATGTACCTAGGTTGCAGGCACATCTCCAATAGGGGGTGTGCAAGAGGCAGCTGATCGATGCTTCTCTCTCATCGATGTTTCTAACTCTCTATCCCTCTCCCTTCCTCGCCTGTAAAAAAAAAATCAATAAAATACATATATTTTTTAAAATATCCCTCCTCCCTTTTAAAATGTAAATCTGAACCTTGATTTCAGTTCTGTCAGGGGGTTAAGTAAATGAATAAGAGTAGTGCTCTGGGAGAAAGCACAGAGGGATCATTCTTGTTCGCAGACTTCTCATCCCTTAGGACCCCAGCGGGTAAGACATACGAAGACCTACCCCTTTCATGAAAGTGGTTTAAAGACCTAACAAAAGTCTGCAGCGTGTTTGTTTTCTACCTTTCAACATCACCTGAGAAATGAGAGATTAGTTTTCAAACACTAAAAGAGAGAAATCTCTGATCTAGGAAACTATCCTTTCATCGAGATTAACATTACCGCATCTACAGGTGTATTCAGCACTGACTAGAGCTGTCTACGAGAGAAATACAACAGGTGTGGATTTCCATTCTGTTGACCCAGCCTAAGACAGATACGTCTCTTCGTAAACACTCTCAAAGTCTTTCTTTTTTTTCTTTTTCTTTTTTTTTTTTTTTTTTTTTTTTAGCTGACAGGCACACAATTGCAATAAGAAGTCATCTTGTTTGTCGGGTAAAAGGTGAGGGACATGTTAGGGAAGAGACCAGGAGCTGGAGGGGACTGGGAGAAGGGAAGAATGGAGCACTAAAAATATATATATATATATATATATCTCTAAAATTACAAAACTCAAAGCCAATTTGGAATTCCCATGTTGAATATTGCGATAACAGCGTGTGTTCCACAATGGGAGCTCTTCGGTGTGCTGAGGGCTCTAAGGGAGAGGACAGGTCAAGGTAAGCATGGCAAATCCCAACCTTTTGCACGTCCCTGTCAACTATTTTTTTTTAAAAAACGAACAAGAAAGAAAACTACCAAAAATTAAAACATTAGTTAGTTAGGTTCAGCTCTACTTACTGTAGCTACAAATCCTCTAGGAAAAGACTAGGGTACTATTTTGGATGTGAATGGCCATTACCTAAACAAAGCTTTTAAGGTAACGGTAAACAAGATCCTCTGTTTCCATGTCAATAAACCAACCGCTTCTGCCTCCTGCACTGAACGGTTGAAACAAAGTCAAAAGCTATGTTATACTAGATCGTAGGAACTAAAACATGTCTACAAACAATTAGGGAGGGGAAATGCCAGGCTTTGCACCTGATAGTGAGGGATATGACCCACCAGCTACTGCAGAAACCAGATCCTCTGTCGCCTGCCCAGGGTGGGGAGAGGGAATGGATAATACGTTCCCGGATTTGCTTTGAAATATTTGCCCTCTAATTTTACTAGCTTTTTAAAATGTCTAGTCAAAAATCAAAGAGTAAAATAATTCTTCAAATATCCATTATCATCCTACATATGATCGTCCCTGAAATTATATAACCTAAAAGGGTCAAAAGGCTGGGCCGGGACTATGGCAAATCCAGTCCAATTAATAAAGCAACTTAGAGGGTGTGGAGTCTTATCCAAAGAGGGGAAATCTGCAGGCACACCGAAAGTGGTCAGGTTTTTGTTTTATTTTTCTTCTATTTAATGTTAAAGTCAAAAGGAACTTGGGGGCCCTCGTCGGTTTGGCTCAGTGGATAGAGCGTTAGCCTCCGGACTGAAGGGTCCCGGGTTCCACTCCAATCAAGGGCATCTGCCCCGGTTGTGGGTTCAATTACCAGTAGGGGGCTTGCAGGAAACAGTTGATCCGGTGATTCTCTCTCATCATTGATGTTTCTATTTCTCTCTCCCTCTCCCTTCCTCTCTAAACTCAATTTATAAAAAAAAAATTTTAAAGGGACTTGGAATATCATCTCAGTTCCACACCTTTATTTTAGAAAAGAGTAAAGTGAGGCCTGAGGCAGAGAACAACGTCCCGAAGTTTTAAAGGGGCAGCTGGGACTAGAACCCAGTCCCTTGCCTTGTCCCACTACCCCACCAGAGAAATGAGTCCCAAGTAGCCGAGCACTGCATCCCAATGTCACCTCAGGTCCCCTGCTTTGGCAAGATGTATAAAAACTGTGGGAAAATTCTAGAAGATATAAAGGGAAGGGGGGTGAGCACAGAACCAACACAAGGGTCTAAATAAAATACTACACATACATGCACACACACCCCATTAAATGTATTATTCTATACCGATCCTCTTTCTTCCCTTTCTCTTCTGGCCTCTACCTCGAGACTTCCCCGGCCCTTAACATCGGGCTTCAAAACCTTCTAATGCTATAAAAGTACCCACATTCAGAATAAAGAATCTGAGAAAGAAAAGGAGAAAAACAAATCACTTTGAAACCCAAGGCCTTATCAGCCTTAGATTTCACGCCATCTGGAGTCAGCCACTGGATGCCCAGTTTGGCCCTGGGAGCGTCTCCTTTCCTTCTCAACTCCCATTCCAAAACCAAAGTGCCCCAAGAGGAACCTGTTGCCTGGATCTGGATTAACGCCCCCCTGGATTCTTCCTGACCCCTGGTCCCTGAGCCAGGAAGCAGGCTGTGCCTTCTGAAAGCCAGTTCCCACAGCCACAGTTGGTTAAGCATGCTCTCTGCTCCCTCTCTGCTCCCTCGGCTGACAAAGAAAAGTTGCCTTTGCTCGGTGGTGGAGTTTCTTTGCAGGGCCCCTTGGCCCTGAAAACAGCACCACCTCCCCTCCAACGGACCCCTCCCCCAAGTCTAGCTTGGCAGCAACTGGGACGGACAGGCTCTAAAAAAGAAAACCCCACACCGAGCGATGGTAGCAAACTTTAGTGCCAATTTGCCAGCCCTGCTTTAAAAGTACCTGGCTCTCGGCACAGAAGCAAAAGAAGGCACTGTCCCTTTAAGTGGGGCTGTCAATGCTCAGATTGGTCCTGAAAAGGGGCAACAAACAACAACAAGGAAAAAGCAACCTACCGTCTTGGAATCTAACTCATGGTGGGGCTGACCTAATACTTTATCTACACTTGCTGGGTCTGCGAACGTGACGAAACCGAAGCCTCTGCAATGAGACAAAGAGGGAGAAAAACAAACAAGAAAATGTGACACCATTGAAAGCAACAGGGAGGGAGCCCTACTGCAGAATGGGGAGCAAAAGTTCCTCCGCGCCCCCTCCTCACCCCCCCCCCCCCCAGTCCTCCTCCAATCGCCCTCGGGTCTGCAGCCCTCCGCCTCGCCAGGAACTACACCAAGGTTAATGGGGGAAGCGGACGGGGCCGAGCTGGTGGAGGTAACTTGGAAAAAAGCTGGTGTCTCCACTCTTTCGCCACCTCAGTTTCCTTTCCTCCTCCTCCCCCTCCCCTTTCCTTTCTTAACGCTTTGTTTTATTCCGATGAAAACCCGGCACTTAGGAGACATTCGTCCAGCTCCCTCACAGGGGGTTAAGAGTTTGGGGAGCTGGGAGTGCGAAGAAAAGCATGTATTATAAAAAAAAAAAAAAAAAAAAAAAAAACTACGTGGAAAGTGAATGAAGCTGAATGTCCTTTTTAAACAGGAGAAAAAAAGAAGCGACGGGGAAAATGACTTAAAAGACGGAGAGCTGGGGATCTCTGTAGCCAGACAGAGTTCAAGCCCCAATTCATAATAACCTTTGAGGTTATGGGGATGGAGGGGGTGGAACAGAGCGACGTTCGAAACCAGCCACATGCCCTGAGCCCCATTCTAAATCCGCTTAGCTACTTAAGACACCTCCAAAAATAACACTTCAACTTTGTTCTAAAATAAAGGCAAAAATCCAGAAGGGAATGGTTTACCTGGAGCGTTTCGTAGTGGGATCTCTCATGACCATACATTCTCTAATTTCTCCAAATTTGCTAAAATAGTCTCTAAGGCTATCTGTAGAGAGAGAAAGAGAGAGATGGGGGTGGGGGGAAGAAGGGGGGGGGGAAGCAATGCAAATTTTGATCAAGGACAAAAACCAAAAGTAGTTTTCTGTTGTTATTCTGTTTTGTTTTTGCATTTTTTTTTTTTTGCACACGCGGGGGGAAATTCGGCAACAGAGGTCGCGTAGAGGGCTCAGAAAGGATTTGCTATTTTTAAAAAATAATAATAATAACCTTGCACAGGAGAAGTGGGGAGCCAATGGCGGGGGGGGGGGGGGTGCTCCTACACTGGGATAACAAAGAGCAATAAAGAAGCCAAGAAGGGGGGGACCCAGGCGTCCCCCCCTCCCTCCCTTACCTGGTGAGGTCTGCCAGCTCAGTCCACCGATAAACATTTTACTGGAGGGAGAAAACATAACAGAAGTGAGCACCGATGTCAGATCGGCCATTTTGACGTGTAACTTACAAAAGCTAAAAGGAAAGCAGGGGGGGAGCGTTCGAGCGAGAGCCGGGCGGTGGGGTGGGGGGGGAAGGTGACGGCGAAATGCAATCCAAAGGTGTGTAACTTCCACGGGGGGAGGGGGCGCGCGGGAGGGGCGCGCGGGCGGGGGGGCGCGGGAGATGCCGGGCGCCGCGCACCGCCGTCCCCGCCGCTGCAAGGAGAGCGAGCCCGCGGCGGGCGGGCGGCGGCGTGGTGGGCAGCGGCTGGAAACTTACCCGGGGTCGTGCTGGGAGTCGTTGGCGCTGCCCGAGGTGCCTTGGCTCCCATTTGCCTCCATATCTGAGCCCCCCCGCCCCCCCACCCCCAAAAAAACCGAGCCCCACGGCGATCGGAGCGGAGCGGCGGCCGACTCCGAGCCCCGAGATCTCCCGCTCCCTCCTGCCCCTCCTCCTCCTCCTCCTCCCCCCCGCCCGGGCGCCTCCGAATCTCTCTGCGAGCGAGCGAGCGAGCGAGCGGCGGAGCCGGGGCAGCGGCGGCGGAGCCGTCACACGTGGGCTCGGCTTAGCTCAGCCCCGCTGCTCGCACACCCCCCCGTCCCCGCCCCCCCAGCCCATCCCCACCTCTCCCCCTCCTCCTCCCCACCCCCCTCGCCGCCGCCTCCTCCCCCTCCTCCCGGCGCACGTGGGGCGGAGTTCTATAACGTCGTGTAACCAATGCCGGTGACGTCACGCACCCCGGTGCAGCCCCCGCCCGCCCGCGCGCGCACAGGCGGCACCCCCCCCCCCCGCCCGCCCCGCGGCCAGACCCGCGGGGGCGGCGCGCGGGCCCCGCGGCCTCCGGGCGAACCGGGGCGCCGGGCGTGAGGAGCGCACCCCGACTTTTCCCGGGTCACATGGGCTGCGAGGAGAGGGTGGATCGGGGAAGGGGGGAGGCGCGGGGAGCCAGCGGCCGATCCCCGTTCGGACACGGGGAGAAGACGACCCCCGCCCCCGCCGGACTGGCCTCTCCATTCAAGTTCGCCGGCCGCGGCGGCCGGGATCCGGGGATGGCACCAGGCGCCCGCCCGCTCCTGCGCCCTTTTTCCAGCCGCCGCGCGGAAATTTAGGTCAAGGACGTCGGGATCAAACCCGAACCCGGGCTTTCCTTGGGCGCCCCCCCCCCCTCCGAGATCTCCCGGGATCCGGGGGCTTCGGGATTGCCGAGACCCTCTCTCGCACAAACACACCAGCCACAAGTTTTATTTTCCTTTCGCGCTGAAGTTCTCTCTGGCTCTCGCTCCACACCGGCGAGCCTTGCGCCGCTCCCCGCCCTTCCCCGGCTGAGGTACCGAATCCGTGCCCGGGAAAGGTTATTTTGGAACTTTGAGAAACTGACGCGATTCCAGTGGTGAGAAAGCGCCGGAGAAAGCATTTCCACGCTAATCATACAGCGTTTTAAAAAATAATAAAATAGGTTTATAGGGGTCAAGGTCAAACGATTGAGATTTAAAGCAAAATTTTGTATATAGTAAAAAAAAAAAAAAACTAGTTTTGAAGGGTTTCTGGGATGACTGGGAAGGGAAGTTATTTTAGGAAATTCCTCTCCCAACTTTTCCATTATACTTTAGTTTCTATACCGAGATCGTATGCTTGCGATTAAAATAGCCCAAGACCCCCCACCATCTGGGGAGGTAGCTGAGGGTAGCTTCAGACACCCCCCTCTCACTCCTCTCACCCACCACCTGCCACCTTAGGAGCTGTGTGTGTGGTGCAGCTGCAGCATCTGGCACACAGTAGGTGCTTCATACTGACTTCATCCCTTTCTCCCTGAAAAATTCCATAAAGGTGACGTTGGTAGGGAACTTCCCAGAGGCATCTCACACTTCTCCAGCAGATTCCAGGCTGGCCAACTTCAGGCTGGATCAATTTATGGGGTATTTAAAACAATTATCCTTATTGTTTTAAATTATTACAATACCCTGACTTAATGTAGCATGAGGGGCAACAAAGCTGTGGTTCACCGAACACTCAGACTAGTGTTAAGCATGAATCGATGCCCAGTAAACACTTTTCATTAAACTGTCAGAGGATTAGGACACAATGGGATACACTCAATACCAAAACTTCCAAGCCCACTGTGGGTCTTGGGAAAGTGGAAGATTTGAAAAATCTCAACACCAGCCAAAGCTTGTTGGACCAGGCTCTCTTACTCTCCCTGTTTCCTAAACCGAGATAATTTCTCCCTGTCAGGATTGATGAGTTGAGAAGAGGGACTGAGATAAGCAAATGTAAAAGTCCCCTTTTCACTGTAAACCTAGAAGGGTCATGCTTATTATCAATCATGACTTCACATGACTTTTAGAAGGTGCGTTAAAGCTTTATACCACAAGCCCCGGTATTTTCTGTCACTTCAAAGCTGCTTCCCAAATCATCTGGGGTCTCACATGTCCAAGAGCCCATTGTTATTACAGTGATTGTTGTTTTTTTATTATTATTCTCAATTTTAAAAATGCAGACAGACAGCAGAGCTAAATGGATTGTGTTTGGGATGTTTATACTAGAACTGCAGACCATCAGAGGTAGAAAGGCCCTTCCTGACCCAACCCCCTCATTTCACATCAGGGTCCCCGAGAAGTCAAGCTCACCAGGCAGTACCCTGCCCCCACCAGTCAGTTCCTAAAAGGGGTTCTGGCCACCAGTGCAATGCCCTTTGGCTCTGCTGCCTGCATATTTATTCTGTCCTTCACGAGGCAAGAGTAGGGTGTCCTTGTTCCCTGTTGTGGACCTGCCAAGCTGACAGTGAACTGAATTAAAACCTGAGAGGGGCTAGCACTGCAGTTACAAAGTCATTGAGAGAGCACTAGATTTTTTTTTTATCTCCATTACTACACTGTTTCTACTTATTTTTAATTTATATGCAGTAACATTTGCTCTTTGTATTCTATTATTCCACGAGTTTTAGCAAATGCCCGGAATTGGGTAACCACCACCATAATCAAGATCCAGAAGACTTTCATTGTCCCCCAAAATTCCCTCCTGCTGTCCCTTTCACTTTCTATTATTATTATTATTATTATTATTATTAATTATTATTATGCATTTCTTCTCCAGTTCACTCACTGAATGTAGTTCCTGGATAAGAAGAATTGCGGGAGCACGATGTCAGTCCTCCACCCTTAAAATCTCCACAGCTCATGATATTGTTAGACACTCCCTTCTTGTAACTCACTCTTTTCTTGGCATCCTTGATGCCCACATTCTTCTGGCTCTCCTCCTCTCTCTCCAGCCATTCCTTCTGTCTCTTTGCCCTGACTCCTCCTCTGCCTTTCCTTTCAATATTAGTGTTCATTCTCAACCCCCATCTTCACACTCTCTTCTGGGTGAGCTCCTCTCAGATGGGTTTAAATTGCCATTTACGTGCTGCTGCCCCTCAAAATCTTCAGCCTGACCTCCCCATTGAGCTCTAGGTCCTGGTTAATTTCCTACTCAACATCTGCACCTAGCCTTCCTAAAGGTCCCCAAACTCAACATGTCCAAAACTTGCTTTCCCCCCCCCCTAAATCTGAACCTCTTTTAAGCTTCCTTCTATCATCCTAGAGACAAGGTTGACCCCTCCCCAGGTTGACCCCTTCCCATGTGCAATCCATCATGAAAGTCTGTAGTATGTGGTATTTAGGTCTTCCTAAATATCTCTCAAATTCATCTTTCCTGTTACTGCATCCCAGATCTTCCACTTGAACCCCTGCAGTAGCCTCCTAAACATTCTCCCCAAACCCATTCTTATTCCAGTAATATGTCTAGAAAGCTTTCCCTAACCTTTCTGACCAGGTCAGATATCCCTTAGTATGTACTGTTGTTATCCTGCCAGAATGTCCTCTATGTACCTTACTCTGTGTGATCATTTGCTTTATTGCTCATCTCCTCCCTCAAGCCCTAAGCTCTCCGTTTATTAGCACAGTGCCTGTTGGTGGACACTCAATAAATATTTGTTGAATGACTGAAAGGATGAATGAATGAATGAAGGTCAACATCTAATTTCATTGTAGGATTTTTTTTTTTTTTTTATCCATGTCATGAGTCAAATTGGCTGTAATTTTCCCTTCTTGTATTGCCTTTGTCTGGTTATACTGGCCTTATAAAATGAACTGGTAAATGTTCTTTCTTTTTCCATTTTCTGGAACAGTGTGTATAAAATTGGAATTATGTGTTCCTTGACTGTTTGGTAGAACTTGCCGGTAAAATGTCTGGCTCTGGGATAAACATTTCCTGGGCTGATTTTTAACTACTGATTCCATTTCTTTAATGGTTATGAATCTCTTTGGGTTTTATACTGCAAGTCAATTTTTACACATTAAATTTTTCAAGGAAATTATTACCCATAACATCTTGGTTTTCACATTTATTGACAAAATGCAGTTCATAGTTTTCTCAATATATTTTCTCTGCTGCATCTATCCATAATGTTCATTTTTTACATTCTAAATATTATTGTATATGTATCTTCCCTTTTCTGAGTCAGTTGTCTCTGTTTTTTAACTAGTGTTTTTTTTTTCCTACTTTCTACTAGTGTTTTCAAATAATCAACTTTTAGTTTAACACTGTTTTCTGGTTCATTAATTTTTGCTTTTATATATTACTAGAGATCTGGAGCACGGAATTCATGCATGAGGCGGGAGGAGGGGGGTGTCCCTCAGCCCAGCCTACACCCTCTCCAATCTGGGACCCCTTGAGGGATGTCCGACCGTCCGTTTAGGCCCAATCCCACCAGGATCAGGCCTAAACAGGCAGTCGGACATCCCTCTCACAATCCAGGACTCCTGGCTCCCAACTGCTCACCTACCTCTGTGTGATTGTCCCTAACCACTTCTGCCTGCAAGCCTGATCACCCCTTAACCACTCCCAACAGCCTGATCAATGCCAAACTGCTCCCAGCCAGCCCGATTGTCCCTAACTGCCCTCCCCTGCAGACCTGGTCCCCCCCAACTGCCCTCTCTTGCTAGCCTGGTTGCCCCAAACTGCCCTCCCCTACTGACCTGGGTTCCCCCAACTGCTCTCCCCTACAGGCCTGGTCCCCCACAACTGCTCTCCCCTGCTGGCCTGATCCCCCCAACTGTCCTCCCCTGCAGTCCTGGGTCCCCCCAACTATCCTCCACTGCAGGCCTGGTCCCCCCAATTGCCCTCCCCTGTAGACCTGGGTCCCCCCCAACTGCCCTCTTCTGCTGGCCTGGTCACCCCCAACTGCCCATAACTGCCCTTCCCTGAAGGCCATCTTGTGGTGGTCATCTTGTGTCCACATGGAGGCAGCCATCTTTGATTACATGGGGGCGGCCATCTTGTGTCTTGGAGTGATGGTCAATTTTCATATTACTCTTTTATTAGATAGGCTGTCTTAACAATTGAATTCAGGCCAGAGAAAGTGGTCTGTATGAAGCAAATTCTTTGTTACCTGTTGAAGCTCTCTCTAATAAATGGTGTTTTTCATATTAATAAATATTCCATGTGGTTTAGAAAAGAATGTGTATCCTTTAATTAATAAGTGTAGCCTCCTATCTGGGCCTATTAAATCAAGCTTATTAATAATGTTATCCAGATTTTCCATGGCCTTACT